GTCTCCATTTCATAATTTTTGCCGGCAAAGATTGTCCAGGGGTGACTTAAACTAAAACCTACTACTTCAACTTTTTTGGCAATCCAGGATATCCACACAGCATATTTCAAATGAATCCATTTTTTTTTCTTGTCAGCTTTCTTTTCTGAACAGTTTTCACACCCATACATAGTAATCAGAAATACAAGAGTGTGGGTGGTCTTGGTCTCTGATGACACATTCTTACACTTGCTGATCTTTTCTAGTTCTTTCATTGCTTCCCTTCCTAGTCTCAGTCTTCCGATTTCTTAGCTGCAATCTCCATTTCGACTGATGATTGAACCAAGGTATACAAAATCTCTAACTTTTTCAATTCCATCATTGTCAGCATTAAAGTTGTGTAGTTCTTTTGTATTCAGGATTTAGGTCTTCTTAATGTTCAGCTGTAATCTTACTTTGGCACTTTCTTCCTTCACTTTAACTAAAAGTCGTTTCAAGTCATTGCTGCTTTCTACCAAGTAGGGCAGTGTCATCTGTATATATTAAATTATTGATGTTTTTTCCACTAATTTCCACTCCTCCTCCATCTGAATTTAGTCTGACTTTCAGTATGATATTTTCTGTGTACAGATTAAACATATAAGGTGATAAAATGCACCCTTGTCTGACATTTTTGCTTATAGGAAACCATCCTGTCTCTGCATATTCTGTCCTAACAGTAGCTTCTTGTCTGCAATATAGGCTACACATCAGGATAATCAAGTGCTGAGGCACACTCATTTCTTTCAGAACAAACCATAGTTTCTTAAGATCCACAGCCTTGATGTAGTCTATAAAGAATAGACTGATCTTCTGAAATTCTTTGGTGCACTCTAGTATCCAGTAGATATTCGCAATCTCAAGTGCCTCTTCCTTTTCAAAATCCATCTTGAGCATCAGGCATTTCTTACTCCACATAAGATAAAAAACCTTGGTTGCAACACCTTGAGCACTTTGCTTGCATAGGAAATTAAAGCAACTGTCCCTATAGTTAATACACTCCTTGGCATCTCCTTTCTCGATTGGAATGTGTATTGAATGTTGCCAGTCTGTAAGTCATTGCTTTATTTTCCATATTTGTTGGCCTATGCTTGTTAGGATTTTAAAAGGTTCAGTCTCTGTGGCTTGAAATAGTACTGTTGGAATTCCATCCACCCCTGAAGATTTATTTCTTCCTAGTGCTTTCAAAGCTGCTTTCACTTCATTTTCTAGAACCGTAAGTTCATCATCATAGGCTTCTTCTTCAATAGAGATTGTCATCCTTTTATCACTTCTGCATAGGTCTTCAGTATACTATTTCCACTTCCTTTTTATATTCTCCTGGTCAGATAATGAACTTCCCTGTTAGTCATTCAGCATTCCTAATCTAGGCATAAATGTCCCTTTGTTTTCTTGACTCTTCTGGAAGAGATCTCTTGTCACTACTTTGGTTCATGTGCTCGTAATCTCGAGATTAGACCACTGTAACACGCTCTACGTGGGGCTACCTTTGAAGCTGACATGGAAACTCGAAGTGGTGCAGAATGCAGCAGCCAGAATCCTTAGCAAAGCAAGAAAATTCCACCATATTTCTCCTATTTTGGCCACACTGCATTAGCTGCCCACTCGGTTCCGTGTTGACTTCAAAGTTTTTATGTTTACGTATAAAGCCCTAAATGGTTTAGGGCCTCGATACTTGGCGGAACGCTTACTCCCACCTAGCTCTACCCGTGTCACCCGAGTGAGTCAGGAGGTGAGGCTGAGAAGCCTGATGCCGAGGGAGGCCCGGAAGGAAAAAACAAGGAACCAGGCCTTCTCAGTGGTGGCTCCTCACCTCTGGAACAATCTGCCTCCAGAGATTCGTGCGGCATCCTCGCTGGTTACTTTTAAAAATCAATTAAAAACATGGATGTATAGGCAGGCCTCCCCCCCCCAGTTAATTCCTGACTGAGTGTGACTGACCCTCCAGCAAATGAACCCTCACACCCATCTTGCGGAATTATTTAATTGTGTAATTTTTTTCTTATATTTGTTATATTTTATGTTGTAAGCCGCCTAGAGTGGTCAAAATGACCAGATAGGCGGCATATAAACAAACAAACAAACAAATAAAATTGTTTTTCCTCTTTTGTTGTCCTCTTCTATTTCTTTGCAATGGTTATTGTAATAGTACTCTTTGTCTTTACATGAGAGTTGTTGAAAAACTGCATTCAGTTTCTGTCACCTTTTACTTTTGTTTCTCTCCTCTTTATAATTTTAAGTGTTTCTTCCATCATCCATTTAGAGTTTTCTTTTTTCTTTTTTTTTTACTATAGGAGTTGTCCTTTTGCATTCTTTCCTAATAATATCTTTGGTTTCAATCCAATTCTTCTCGTTCATGATCAATTGACTTAAGTAATGCAAATCTGTTCCTTGTGTGGACTTTAAATTCATAAGGAATGTTTAAATTATATTTGGCACTACAATTCCTTTAGTGTTCTTTTTCAGTTGTGCTGTAATGTATATTAACAGTTCATGATCAGCACCACAATCTGCTCCTGGTCTTGTTTTGGCAAACAGAATCAGCTTCTCTGTCTCTTGCTTCCAGTTATGTAGTCTATTTGATTTCTACTGTATATTGACTATCTGTTGATGTTTATGTGTACAGTATAGCCATCTATTCAGTTACCTGAAGCATGTATTGGCTCTGCAGAACTCTATGGGCCATCCTTCTGCTTTATTTCTTTCCCCTAGGCCAAATTTTTCAACATTTGGCTCTGCTTTGTTCCCTACTTTGGCATTCTAGTCAACTACTGTAGTAGTATAAGCATGTCTTGTTTTGATGTGTGACCAATTTCCTCTTGGATGCTCGCATAAAAGCTTTCAGTTTCATCTTCTTCAACACTGGAGTTGGAGCATAGACTTGAATGATGTTGATAGGTTTTCCATTGAGTCTGATGGATATTATTTGGTCAGACCTTGCATTGTAGCCCCTAACTGCCTCTACCAAATCTTGTCTCAGTATTAGAGACACTCCATTTCTTTTGGATTTGTCATTTCCACAGTAAAATACTTTATAGTTATGTCACTGAAAATATCCCATTCTAATCCACTTTCGTTCACAGACATCAAGCAATGCAATGGTTATATGTTCCATTTCTTGCTTTATAGTTTCCAGTTTACCTTGATTCATACTTCTCACATTCCATGTTTCAATTGTATGTGTTGTACAACATCAGACTTTCCTTTTTACTTTCCTTTTTACATGGCAGCCATTAGATGTCCTTTCAACTTTAGTCTAGTTGTGTCATTAGCAACAAAGCTATTAGTATTTGTCCTTTGCTCTTCCCCAGCCACTGATTGAGTGCTTTCCAACCCAGGAGTCTCATCTTTCAGCACTATTTCTTGTTTCATTTTGGATTTTCTTATGCCAAGGTGTTTATGGTAAGGGTTTACCATTGCCACCATCTGCACAGTACTAATAAGTTATCCTGAATGTCACTCCCCTCCACCATTGTCACCCTCAGCTGCTGCCACTGCCCAGTAGCTACCTTGAACCTACATCTTGGTCTGGTGTCTCAGCTGTGACTATTCTGCCTTGGATGACCCTTCTAGTTGTTCAAGCTCATAACGGAGATTGGCCTCCTGCTGGCATTGCTCTCTGCTTCGCTATCTTAGAAATTCAAAATTTGGTAAACATGGAAAAGTTGCATTATTGCATCAGGAAAGGGAATATATGTCCCTCCTATCAGCTCAAGGCAGTAAGCCAACTCGGGAGGGCTAAAAGGACCTGCAGTTCAGCAACTTCTGGAAGCCTATGTATTTCTCATATCTGTGCTAGAGATAGCACTGCAGCTTCAAAATGGTTTAAACAAGATAGAGAACATACTCTGCCAGCCCCAACCTATATGTCTATGTGCAGTCGTACACATACACCAAGTGTCTTGTATATTTAAGCAGTCTCATTTATTTTTGATGGAAGAATCTCTCAGCTACAGCCATATTTATTCTTGATTTCAGCTGTCGTAAGTACCATCAATCCCAACCAGCCTGAAATTCCATTTCAGCTTTGTAATGTATAACTTTATAATAAATAATAATCATATAACTGGGGTGGGGTGGAAGACGGAGAGAGAGAAATTTGGGCATCATGCAAATCAGGTTTTCGCCTTTTCTTAGTTGCTCCCCGGTCATTTGTTTTCTCTCCTCGGAGAAGTACCAAGACCACTTCCTCTTCTCCCTTCTCCGAGGCAATGGCTGGTGCAGAGAGAGATGCCTTTGCCACAGCCACCTGTAAAGGTTGTAATGGTACATCTTTCCAGGAGGGCTTGTGCAGCAGATGGACGCCTGCCAAGGCTGTTTTCATCTCTTTTCCAAAACGCCTACACACACCAGACGCTGTCAGCATGTGCTTGCGTGGTTTGCCCCCTCTTCTCCCCACGAGGCTCCCAGGGGTGCAGTTCTGCTCGTGTTGTAATCAAATTCAAGCTCCGATCGCAGTCCACCAAATGCCGCAGGAGGTAGTGTCAAGTTGCTTCCCTTGGAGGGCCTGAAGAGTCGAATGAAGTGTCTTGGAACAAGAGAAAGGTAATGTACTAGCTGTCATTATAATGTAAGTTCCTCCTTGTAGTCTGCCAAAGACAAACTAATTTGTATTTGTTTTCAGGAATTCCTGGAAGCAACTCCTTGGAAGAAAATGCTGCTCCGTGCATTTAGGATTCATGCAGAGGCAAACTCATACCACCCAAGGGCATGTTTTAAGGAGGAGGACATTTTCTACTTCCCTGTGTTTCATACCAGAGACGGCTCATTTTCTGTCGCACTCCCGTCTTGGAGCTGCTCAAAGATTTGTGGGCAGTCTTCTTCGAAACAAACAAACAAACCTATGTAGTGCCACTTACACCCACAAAAGGCACACTGCCTCATGCATCATAAAACAGATGAGTCATCAAACTGCACCAATAATCTTGCTGCAGGTAAATTATCATGGGTTAGTTCATGTGCTTGCTTTATTTAGTACTTACATCTATACTCTGTCCTTTATTTGGGGTGTCGTTCAATAAAGCCCCCTGAAAACACAATGCAGACACAAATGTAAAAGCAGCAGATGTTATCAAAGTGGCCCAAAAATATAGAAATCACAAGAACAAGCTTGATAACCAAAACAAATCAGGAAGACTTAAAAGCCTGGGGGAATTGAAAAGATCTTTGCCTGGTGGTTTAAAACCTTCGCAGTGGGAGAAGTAGTCAGAGGAGCATCCTTAGGAAGAATATTCCAAAAGTGTTCTCATCCCAAACACACACACACACGTATGCTAAATATGTTGTGAGTGAAATCATAGTACTGTTAAGTCACACTTGAGTAGGCCCATTGATTCAATGGGAATTTGGGGATTCAACTCCTCCTTAAGTGCCATCGATTCAAATGGGCCTAGTCTAGCTGCAACTTTCTGTGCTGAAGTAAATCTCAACCAAAGTGGACCCATTTGGATTGATGGAATTTATGGAAGAGTTGGCTCACCAAATCCCCACAGATTCAGCAGGCCTGGGCTGGCATGACTAGGATTATTTAACACTTGAAGATGCCTGGCTTCTTTTCCACAGCTAAAATTTAACAGTCTGTGACCACAGAGTAGGTCCAGGCCTCACTGGACTGCTCTTAGAGCAATTGGCCACCTCTGCCACCCGGTTTTATGGAGAAAAATATAGTTTTTCATACTTCTCCAGATCTTGGGGTTCCTTCTAGCCTACTAATATCTTACTGGTGGGAGAGGAAGGCGTACTTGACCACATAATTTATATGTTTATGCCAGTCACTTATATGATTAAGTCATTTATATGATTATGCCTACACACTGGAAATGTCTAATGATAGATAGATTTCCTAAAAGGTTACATTTTAACTTTGAATTTGAAGAATTCAGTCATGAACCTGAGTCCTCCAGTTTTCTGAAACAGTAAATATTTGCCTGCGTGTGTGCGTCGTCATTTACACACACACACACACACACACCAACTATGAAAACAGAGGCTACAATCCAGGGAGTGTTCTTGGATCTTCTGGATTTCAACGGGAGAAATTTCAGCACACTGTTTGTCCTCCAGCTGAAAACAATGAAACGTGGCAATGCGTAACTTTGGCTGGATGCTGAAAGTACTATGGTTTGGGTGGGTGGGGAAGTCAACACACATACTTGTGCTTATAGTGCTTGATTTAAGCTACATAAATAACAACTCAGGGTCTTAGATTACAAAGAGCCTTTAAGTACAATCATCATTTAAAAAAAAACACAAAACAGAAAAACCCAAACTTTTTTCAACAATAATAATAACAAAAGTAGAAGCAATAGTAATCATCATCATTATTATCATCTGGTGCTGACTCTTCTTTTTGGTGGTCTCATGGGGCCTTGTAAGTATAGCTCACAGCAGCAGCATGTCTTACTCTAAATCAGGGGTCTCAAACATACGGCCCGGGGGCCATTTCCGACCCACCGGATGATAGTTTGTGGCCCCAGCCTTGCCTGCCCCTCTGAAGCGCCCACATGGCCTTTGCTGTCAAAAGTCAAAAAAAGACTCACCTTGCTTGCTGGCTCTCTCCCAAGACAGCTTGCGCACCCCTCCTCCTACTCCTACTCCTCCTCGAAGCCCCAGCCGGGCTAAGGAAGCTCCTGGGTGGTTTCCTTGGGCTTTTGCTCCACTTCGCAGAAAATCTGATGCGGCCCAGCCTCACCCAGATTCTGCCTCCAGCGGCCCCCAGGTAAATTGAGTTTGAGACCCCTGCTCTAAATGTATGTGTGAAATCATATTTTCCTCTTTGCTTATGAACAAAGGCATTTATATAAATCAATACCTTTGGCAGATGTTTTAGAGTACAGCCCCACATGCCAGGTTTCTCCAGCTGGTGCCCTCCAAGTAGTTGGGACTGAAATTCTCATTATTTCGGGCAAGCACGGCCAGGGGTCACGCCCCACCCCTACCTGAATTGCATACCTGCATGCACAGTTTAGAGGGTAGCTGTACAGTTTGCATGGGCAGGAGCAGAAGCTCTAACTTGTTGAATCCCCAGGAGTTAAACCTCTAGATGTTGCTAACCAGATATCTCCAATTTCCCCTGACCACTGGCAATACTTCTAAGTCTCATGGCATCTGGAATTATACATTGCTCTCCTGACCTCCACAATACCCCATATCCAACGGGATAGTCCATGCTGCCATGATACCAACATCAAAGCTTTTATCATCTGAGTAGGTAGAGCCAACATTCAGCATTGCCAGCCACAGGCCAAGACCTATGCCTCAACTGAAGGCCAACCAGCAGGTCACCTTTGCCCTGTTGTTTCTCCTCTTTGCTATGGGTCCTTATACGTTTCCCCTTTATGAGTGAGTCAAAGACCCTTGCCAGGGCCGAGAGGAGGTATCGTCAAAGAGAATGTGGATACACTGAGGCAGAAGAGCCCAAGGAGTCACCAGTGTGAAAAGGAGAGAGCAAAACCAGGACCATTTTTTAAAAATCAAAGTAGCAACAACTTTATATATATCAGAATATATCATATTCTTTAAAAAAAAAAAGTAACCAGAAGTGACCAGCTCTCTATTTCTGAATTACAGATCTGATAACCAAAGCTGGCTGGGAGATTCTCGAAGTTGTAGTGTCATAATACAGTGGACCCTCGACTTACAGACTATTCGAGTTACAGACTTCTCTGGCTGCAAAATTTAGATTCGACTTGCAGCTGGAGAATCGACTTACAGACCAGAAAAAACCCAAAATGGAACAAAAATAGAATAAAAACCGCCAGTTATGGGATTAATCGATTTTCAATGCATTGTAGGTCAATGGAGATTCGACCTACAGACTTTTCGACTTGCAGCCACTGTTCCAATACGGATTAATTCCTTAAGTAGAGGGTCCACTGTAATACTCTTAGAACTCCAGAGCTGGAAGGGACACCATGGTTCATTCAGCCCTTGTCAAGGAGTCATGGTGGGAGGGATCAAATTCCCGCCCTCTGGCTCCACGGCTAAAACCACTGAGCTATCTAGCAGTTCAGTTGTTGGCTATCTAGATTAGATTTGCATTTTATTATCTAATAGTAACCAGCTTTAACTATACATTTGGTTTGCAGTGGCATATGATCAAAGACGATAAAACGAGTACTGTACCTGCTTACTGATCAAAGTTATGCAAACTCTAAGTACGCAAATATATTGTGACAACATGCCCCCAGCAAAAGCCATTCATGTGCCTCACAAGGTGCCCAAGGGCAATTGTGATGCAATGAGATGCTTAGATAAACATTGAAATGGGGGAGGATGGTTTCCAGTAGATGGTAGGCACCAGAGGTAACAAACTTGCACACAGAACAAGGCACATGTGCATCCTAGGCAAATGGGGAAGGCACATATAGTACAACAAAATTGGTCCACTGCATATAAACATCTCTGGCGGAACTGTGCGTCTTTCAGACAAATGCAGAACAAATAAATATTCCTTCCAGGAAATTGTGGTTTGGCGTGCTAAATGCATTACATAAGACCTCAGTGGAAAATAAAGGACTATTGATTAATTGAGATGCAATATGCTGTTAAAAGTGACTACAAAATCCATCACGGGAAGCTGTTATCAATGGGCATAAACCCTTTTATGGGCAGCTGTAGCTCTGTTGCTAAATACTATTCTGCAGAGCATCGTTTGATAAGGACCAGCCTTGTGTTGCATGATTCTACAAACCCATGCACTTTGATGAGCATACATAAACAGTAATAGAGAATAATTGTGTCCCCAATTGAATGATGCATTATATTCCCCCATGTATACTGAATTATTATACTTTATTTTTGTCATGTATAGTATGCTAAATCCCATTGCCATCCAATTCTGAAATCTGAAAGGGTGGTGCTCGTTTAATTGCTGAGGAGTTTTTTTTCACCAACCTTTTAAAAATGATCTGTGTTTCAAAGCCATTTGGAACTGCATTTTTTAACTATATCTCCCAGAATCTTCCAGCTGACAAAGCCAGCCTACAGCTCGTTGAAACCTCACTTTCCAACTCCTGCCTCTGTTGGCACTTTTGAGCAGCCACTGTTGGGGGGGTTTCAATGTATCACAGCAAGGCAAAATAATTTGTAGGTTGTCTACTCTTGGGTTAGGGATTGATGCACAACCGAACAACTTCCACACTGCAATGTACCAAAAGTCAGTCCTTTGTCCAGGTTAAATCATCAGTAGCCTCTCAGCAGCTGCAAGATCTTCAGCACTCCTGTGAGGGCAACTATTGTTTCCAGCCCTTATCTCCCGAGGGTCAGGGACCTAGATTTAAGTCCATCCACTTTGCACAACATCTCCTTGAGCTGGGAAGTAGCTCTTAGCTTGTTTATATTTACATTTCTCTCACAATAAGCTCCATTCTCAATGGAATCAATTTAGAAATCTCACAGTGGTAGTCACATGATAATTGGGTCAACGCATGGATCCTCTTGGGAAAACGTTTAATCCATATTTTACCTGTGTTGTATCTTGATTGAGGGGCCTGCATTGGCTTTTAGAAGCATTGCATTTGAGGCTTTGTCCTACGCTCACCCTCCTTGCTCTCACACTGCTCGCTTGCCCCTGCTGCTGTGGTGAGAGAGAGGGAGGATCTGCTGGCAAAGCTGCTTGCCCCTTTAGAAAGCTTGGTTGCGTCTGTCCCTTTAAGAAGGCTCCCGCTGTCCCCTGGGAGGCAGAGAGAAGCAGCATTTAGGAAAAGAGGCATAAAGTACAGTATGTGAGCCTGTTCAGTCTTGAGGGAGGCAAATGGCAAAGCCTGAATTGCAGAGTTGGAGGAGTGAAGAGCTCTTTCTACTCCCTAACCGCTCTCGCTCACTCTCTCTGCCTCTTTTCCTAAATGCTGCTTCTTTCTGCCTCTCAGAGAACAGCAGGAGCCTTCTTAAAGGGACAGTCCATGGCAAGAGTGGGGAGGGGCTGTGAGAGAAGGCCTGGCTGTGTCCTCCCTTTCCTCTCAGGCAACCCTGTGCCCACCCATCTCTCTTTTCTTTTCCAAGCTGTCCTTGTTGCTGCCGCCTCCTCTCTCACCCCCCTCTGCTGGTCACCCAAAGGTGCAAGCCATTCGCAGCAACAGAGGGGTTTACATATGATTGAAACGAATCAAGTTTCACAGGCACGCTAAAATAAAAAACCCTTTGGTGGAAGAGTATTTTACGATGCTTTCCAACCAGAAAACGTGCTTCCCTGGCAAAATAATCTGTTCTTCTGTTTACGTCATGGAGACACCTTGTTTTAAACTGTTTTAAAAAACAGAACATGATGCAACAGCAGTTCTTATTGTCAATAGAATCAAGCCCTAATACGAAACTAGGCTCCCTAAGTCTAGGCTCCCAAATCCTGTGTGGGTGGAAAACACACTTTCTCACTTGCTTCTCTAGCCTGCCCTCCTGATTTGTTTATTCTATGGAAATTGGCGGAGAGACCCTGAACTGCCTGAGTCCCCTACAGTTATTCCCTGAAATGAAGCAAAGCCACTCTTAAGCACCATATCACTGATAGGGAGGGAGGAGGTTCTGGGGCAGATGGGCGCGAGCTCCATATGGAAACATGAGGAACAGCCAAAGGACTTGCATAAAGAATGTAGATCTTTATTGCTATTATTATTATTACCTTCGTTTTCTTTCTCACAAAAGAGGAATATAGCTCTTAGCCTCTTCCTAACAAGAGAGGAAGAAAAGATTCAGGCCTCCCAGGGAGGACGAGGCAGCAGTGTGACTCCTTTTGTACACGACTCATTAAATATCTGAACTCTGAGTCACTGAGTATTTGAATGCTTTTTCTGATTGTCCCAGCAAAAAGCCAAGTCTGCCCCTCTGTGGCTGTTACTCACACCCTTTCGTCTTGCAACAGCTCTTAATGGGTCCCCAGGGAGACACCAGAGTCCTTTGTGTGTACATTGAAGAGTTGCCCCAGTCTTCTTGGCGAAACAATCTAAACAGACTACTGTAGTCTAGAAGAAGACCACTTTAACATACCGTGGAATCAAGTTCAGCTGAACTGGTTTCAATAACAAGTAAGATGCCAGGTCTAGAAACTGGGGATTCTGGGAATTGTTATCCAAAAAAAAAGTAAATGCTAAAAGTTCTGTTTTTAATGTTGAAGCAGTCACATAAAGAATGTTGTCATTCAGGATCTGACCCGGAAAGGAGCCTCTTGTACTAGTTTGTTGATCCAGACTCCTCTTTGCCCCAAGATTTAATGGTGCAGTTGAGAAAATCAGCTCTGCCCCACTTTCTTCCATGCCAATGATTGCAAGTGTTCTTTTTTTAAAAATCCATTCTCACTTCCATGTTAATACACTGGCATGCATATGTGCACCAATGCACAGCTTTCCACTACACTTTCTGTTTCCCCACTTTTAACCACCTATGGTTAAAAGTGGACCACCTAGGTCCACCATGGACCTATGATAGGTCCATGCTGGACCTATCATGAGGGACTTCTGTGGGTGCTGCTCTGCCCTGTCAATGCCTCTGGTCCTTCTGCTCTGCCCCATGATAACCCTAGAGAGAGGCACAAATACCTCTGTGATGGACAGGTCAGTAACCTGTCCAACTTTTAACCACCTATGGTTAAAAGTGGACCACCTAGGTCCACCATGGACCTATGATAGGTCCATGCTGGACCTATCATGAGGGACTTCTGTGGGTGCTGCTCTGCCCTGTCAATGCCTCTGGTCCTTCTGCTCTGCCCCATGATAACCCTAGAGAGAGGCACAAATACCTCTGTGATGGACAGGTCAGTAACCTGTCCATCACAATGGAAAGGCACAAATACCTCTGTATCATGGTCAGTAACCACTCCTGTCCATCACAATGGACCCCTGATTTAGCAACCAATGGTTGAACAGAAGGGGCGGAACCAAGGAAATATAAGAAGAGAATGGATGACAGTTAAAGATCAGTTAGGGACTTCAGTTAGGGATGAGTAAGAGTTAGAGTTAGGATTTTAGTTGGTCAGGAGTTACAGAAAGAGCTGGATAGTCAAAGTTAGGAGAATAGTAATAAGTAAATATACAAGTTGATTTAATGGCAAATAATTAAACAAAAGAAGACTACAAGCTGATTAAATGGCAAATAATTAAACAAAAGAAGACATTGCAATGATTGTGATTCTGAGTAAATAAATAAAGAACATCTGTAACTTTAATAAAAACCTTCAATGATTGCCAGCCAGTCTTTGAGTGAAATAATTTACATTGTGGATAAAAGAAATCCACTGGAGGCAGCGGAAAAGAGTGAAAATTAAACGTCATGCCCGAAAGTGAACCTGGGTATGTAGAAGAAGAAACAGGGGAACTGGGTGTGTGGAGTGGCAGCAGAAAAGAGTGAATATTAAATGTAATGCCCAAAAGTGAACCTGGGTATGTAGAAGAACAAACAGGGGAAGTGGGGGGTGTGACAACCTCTAATTCAGCTTATATTTACACATATATCTGAAGTCAGTGCATATCCCTACTAAATAATGTTTGGAAAGCTACTTTTAGAAGTTAATTTGGTTTCAAGCCCCTTAGTAATGGCAAACTGGGATTCTTCTTAGTATTAGTAGTAGTATTCAAAAATGATAGGCACAGTCAATCAAAATTATAAAAACATTGACTAGTATTATATAACAGATACAAGTTTTAATGAAAAGCCTATGTATCTGTTAAATCAGAGATGATGATGATGATAATGATGATGATGATTGCTAAAGCCCTAGGTGAGGGGATTTTTCTAGACTACTAGGGCAACAGTCATAGGCATCCTTCAATCTTGAGAGACTCTGGTAATGTGCTCTGCATGGAGGACTTCAACACTGTATGTGAAGCTGAGTGTCCTCTCCAGAGCATGAAGCCTGGGTAAAATAATATGGAGGATAGGCTGTTACCCAAGCAGCAAATCCCCCCTCTCCACATTGCTGAAATGGTCCAATGGAAAGGCAAGAGCCAATACAACTGGTTCCAGCAGCATCACAGGAGTTGCCAGAACGACACAAACTGCCTCTGGGACTCCGGCTCCGGATTTTGCCTCAAGATTAATTCTTGAAGCCCTTTCCCTCAGTGGATATAGCCACAAGGCAGTGGAGGTTTGAAATCAGAGTTTTCCTTCTCCTAGATGGGCTGCCTTCCAAGGCTGACGAGTCCCACCTACCTGGCTCCCTATCAATAGCTTAACTGAAAATAAGGAATTAAGAATTTTAGGAGCATCTTTAAAGAAAATGGGTAGTTGACTATTAGTAAAAGGGGGTCTTGAAGCTTTTTAGTGGGCTCCTGCCCACTCCTTTAGGATCCTTGCTGAAGGCTTCCTGAGTTCCTGCCTGACACACTATCCACTATGACACCATAGCTGTAAACAGGTCATATAACTCACCAACCTGCAACTTGACCTAATAGGAAGATCCATCCTGACCAGATGAAGGCTCAGCCTGACTGTTAACTGCCTCTCAGTTTGCAGAGATACAGACCAGATTGTGACCTCATTCTGACATCGGAGGATTCTGACCTATGGCTAGGCTGGTTAGGAGAATTGTGGGAGCTGCAGTCAAAGAAAGCAACTTTATCAAGCTCTGCTTGGCATGTGATGAGCTTGCCCAAGGCGACACAGGCCAGCTCTTCCTCCCTGAAGGGACAGCGGAAAATTCAACTCCCAACCTCTTTCTCCACAACCAGCCTTCGTAACAATACCCAAAGAAACCTTTAGCGTGACCTAAAAGCCTGCTTCCAGTAGAAAAGCAAAGACACAGATCCCAAACCTTGGGGATCACTCGTTACCTGAAGTGTGACATCCTCAGTCACAGGACATATTTTCCCTATCAATAGCTTAATTGACACTCAGGTATTAATAATTTCAGGAGCATCTTTAAAGAAAATGGGTAGCTGACTATTAGTACAAGGGGGCCTTGAATCTTTTCAGTATAAAGTTATATTTTAAGCTCCTGCCCACTGCTCTAGGATCCATGCTGAAGGCCTCCCGAATTCCTGCCTGGCACTCTATCCACTATGACACCATAGCTGTAAACAAGTCATAAAGCCCACCTTCAACCCTCATCTTGACCTAACAGGAAGATCCATCCTGACCAGTTGAAGGCTCAGCCTGACTGTTAACTGCCTCTCAGTTTGCAGAGAAACAGAACTTCTCCAACAGTACATGCCTTCCAAATGCCCACTGCCTAATATTTACTTTCTCAGGGCACATGTTACAAATGCATCTTTAAACAGGGAAAGTGTTCTGCTGCAAATTTATTTGCAGTGGAAGGAAGTGCATCTGTGCTAACCCTCCCCCACAAAAACAATCAGCTTTGGCACACAGGGTGGAAGAGGATCTCCCACTGAATTGTGTCAATTGGAAAGAAGCCCAATGCTACCCACACTATTTGGAGTAGTTAGTTAGTTAATTAGTTAGTTAGTTAATTAGTTAGTTAGTTAGTTAGTTAGTTAGTTAGTTAGTTAGTTTGTTTGTTTGTTTGTTTGTTTGTTTGTTATCACCCCATTCATGCAACTCACTATTTGGGGTAGTTTACAGCAAAATACAATATAACCACACAACGATAGAGTTCTAAATAAAACCAAGAGACTATTTGTTTAGTCATTAAGTTGTGTCCGACTCTTCACGACCCCATAGATTAGATCAGGCAGAAGAACACAGGGCATAAAAATCAGATATCAAACCAGGCAGGGGTGTCATAGAAGGCTTCTCTAAGCAACATGCAGCCAATCACAGGGAAACCTCTTCCTGAATTTTAGCCACTCAGCTTTTGAAAGGGGCACCTCTTAAATAAAAGCCATCCTTGGGCAGTCGCCCTGCAAAGACAGCCAGAAGAAGAGAGGTCCTTTCTGAAAGGAAGGCTTCTCAGGGAGCCCAAGCCAAGAAATCAAAATTGTACCTCAAGAATTCAAAGAGGCTGGACCGCGATGGATTCTTTTTCCCACAAGAGGGAAGTGTTTTAACACAGAGAATAGCAGCAGCTATTTCTCGAAATGACAAACGGTGGAAATGTTTGAAATGGTGAGAATGACTTTCAGGAAAAATTCCAACAGGCCCATGGAAACAGAGAATCTTTCTTCCTTGAAACAGACACACACACACACCCAAAAAAGACAGGAGCCCAGGGCCAGGAAGGTCCAACCAAGGATTGGGCTACCTTCACAAATAAGGCAGGAAAGGCTCTGGGGTTGGGTTGGTCACATTTACCTTCTTCTCCCTTGACTCCGCAAAGCACAAGTCAATGAGAACCAGCTTGGAGTTTTTGCCCACCAATCCAAATTTATTTTCCCCAATGAAGAGGCTAATATTTTTTAAACAAGCAAATTTATTTGCAGTGGAAGGATGTGCATCTGGGAGAGGTACCCCTTGCTAACCCTCCCCCACAAAAAATAATCAGCTTGATTTCCCCCAAAAGAAAGTAACACAGGCAACTATGAATGCAAGTTCCTGGGAGGTCTCGTTCCTTTTTCCACTCTTTGCAAGGCACCTTTCAGGAACCCCTGCCTGCAAGCTGGACAACAAATCCAACGTCCAAAACACCCCAATGGCAGAGAGCAACAGGAAAAGGACTCTCAGAATCCAAATCCTGGGGCCAACCAAGATTACTCAAAGGAGAATGTATGACACCTGCGGGATAGTTCAGTGGTTTAAGGATGTGGCTGCAGAGCCAGAAGTTGAAAGTTTCATTTCCCACTGGGCCTCCTTGACACAATGATCCATAGGGTCCATTCCAACTCTGAAGTTCTGATGATGACGATGTCCCACCTGGGTGGCCTTGGACAAGCTGCATGGAGGGGGGGGTCGCAGGTCAACACCAATGGTGGCCCTTGTCTGGGGAACCACTTTTGGGGATGGAGTACCTAGAAAACCCTGGGAGGATGGTGATCCCTTGGAACGGGCTGAATGGAGCACCACTAAAGGGGCTCCAGAGAACCTGACCAGGCAAAGGTCAGCTGGAAGGGGGAGGAACAGAACAGAGAGGAAGGGGGCATTCTATTTTCCATTCTCTCTGGAGACGCCAGTAAACAAAGAATGCCGGTTCAACATGTCTATTATCACTTGCCACTCAGATAAAGGGAAGAGTGGCTGTCCATTATCGGAAGACTGAGAAGGTGGCCATTTCTGCTCTGAGTGCCATGGCTGCCATATTATACCTCTTATAAGCACTGGGGTGATCTATGTCAAGCCTGGTGGTGTGGGTCCTGTTGTCAGGATAGGCAAAGATGGGGGTGCTGGGGACCCATGTTGATGTCCCCAGAAGCCTCTGCAGGACAAAAGAGCATCAAGAACACCCCTTAAATGAAAAGGATAAAATCAAAAATGGGCAGAAGTCTACCTCCCATTTGGAAGAAAGTGTGTGGGGGGTATTTGGATACTATTATACAGAGCAGGGTGTGTGACTCTTCTAACATAGGACTAGCTGCTCCTAAAAGCTTCCAGATAGCAAAGCACAGCAGAGGGGGTTACTAAGGATTCCTTTCTTCATTGTCAAAAAGGTTTCAAAATCAGCTGTCAGGGTGAACTTTGTCCATTCCTCTCTCCTACAATAAATATAACATGGAATTTAAACAGAAATTCTAAAGGGTACTTTGGTTATTTTGAAACAGAAAGCACCTGAGGAGAGTTTGAGCACCCCCACCCTCAAGACAGCTTTTCATTTCCAAAGGGAAAACTAAAAAGTTGGGGAAACGGCCCAGCAGTCCCTCCCAGATCAAGACCCTCCTGGGTTTCCCCCCCCTCATGCACTGCCTCAGTCTTTCTTCCCTACTGGATCCCTGTCTGACTTGGCTGCTGGTTCAGCCCAGCTGTGAGGCTCACCTTGATGCCTTACTTTCCCTTCTCAGATCAGCCGGAGACTCTTTCGGATAGGACTACAGCAGAGGAACCGAAAAGTGGCTCCCAACCCATTGGAGGATGGTGAGATCTTCAAGTGTGTGATCCCAAAAAAGACAAAGATGGTGGAGGAGGAGACTGAAGGTGAGGTATCCTATGTTCTGGAGGAGGAAAGACACCCCGTGTGTGTCTCTTCTTTCCCTGGGTCTGAAAAGGGAAGTGCCTCAACAACACCATGAAAAACAGCCAACTTGGGAAGTGGCAGATGCTGTTTGTGAGACCCAAGGAGAAATATGCCCTCAAAACCGCTTCTGTGGATGGCCCCCTCTGGAACCAGGTGAGAACAAATGATGGCTCGGCAAGGGATGGGGAGCTCAATCCTTGCAAGAGGAATGCGCATAAAGAGATGCACAGAAATAAATAAAAATAACTAAACCAAATTTAAAGACACTCAGTGAGGTGGCATGGACATATTGACGAACTAGGCCTAAGGCAACTTGGGTTCAAATCCCCTCTTGGCTATGGAAACTTCCATTCTTGGTAGACTGAGCCAGAAGTCTATCTCCCCCACACACATACACCCCTTTTCCATGGGTAACATAAAATGGGCTTCCTAGTTGAGCAGAATGCCAGTCTTCCAGTATCTGGAGCTAGAGCAAAGGTAGAGCTAGGCCTTCTCCCCAACTGAACTGATGACAAGCAAAGGTTTCCAGCCTCCAGGAAGACTTCCAGAATCGAGATTTCTGAGCACCAAAGGTGAGCACTACTAGACCCATAATTCTTTGTCATTTCCATAGAACTTAGCCTCGCCCAGTCACTGTCTCCATCTTTATCATATTGGAAAAGTGCCACTATTTCTTAGCTTAAAGTGATTATTAGTTACCATTATGGCTTAAAAATTAAAATATTGTCTTCTTTTCCTTTTCCTCTAAAGCAATTAAATAATTACTTATAGTTTTTTTAAAAAACTGGATGCTACAAGTCTTTGCTCTGTGATATGGAACACACACACACTGCCCCTGACATTTTGGGTGTTAAACTGTGCAGCAGAGGAGCTGGAGTCTGTTTTAAAAGGTGAGTTACGCCTCCAGAAGGGTTGTGAGAGCCGAATTCACCTCCCCTCCCCCCGCCTTGGAGGATGGGAAAGTCCCAAACGTACAGGCTTGGTGATGGAGACCCACTTTGCTTACTCTAGTGCCCGCAGAGTGAAAAAGAGGGCTCCTAAAAGCAAGGGAAATATAAGAACATGTGCGGATGATAGTTGCAAAGGTACAAATAAAAGAAATCCTGTCAAGAAATTATCCAAAAAAAATTCCATTCCCCCTACCCTCTCAAACAGCCCAGTTAGCAGGGGCCAATGCTCAATGGAGACAGATTCACGAGTGCAGACTGTGTTGTGTAACTTGAAAAGCAAACTCAGAAAACTGAGGGTGAACAAATTGACTGAACTAAATCAATAAGAGCTTATAATATCCAGAGGGAAGGATCTCTTGTTGTCTGTCTGAAAAGCCCCCCCAGAGTGAGTTGATAAATTTACTGCAGCATTTTGTTGCAGGTTCCACCTGTCCTTCATAAGACAAATGACTCATGTGGAGTTTGCTCAGCAGGAAGTTGCATAAC